GCTGACTACAGTTCAAGTCCCAGTCCTGGCAGCTTGCTTTTTCACTTTCCTTCTCTCTGTCTCTCTCTGGTCAACCTAAAAATAATAATAATAATGAATAAAATTAAGTAAAATAATTCTTTAAAAAATTTGAAATCCATGAGACCAGCAGTTAGTGTAATGGCTATGTCGCTGGACTCCCATGTAGTCGACCGTGGTTCCAGTCCTGGACCCAGTGGCTTAAACTCATGCTGGGCGCGTGTGCATGCATGCCCAAGATCCTGAGAGAAGAATGGAGGAGAAGGGATTGCGGTGTGACCATCCCCCTGGGGGGTGATTTCTCGCTTTCTGTCTCTGTCTCTGTCTGCCTGGTGAGCGCATGCGCCCTATAGCAAAAACCTCTCAAAAATTATTTTATTTAACTTTATTAATTATTAGCATTAAAAAAAATTGACTAGAGAAAGAGACTTAAAAAAAGTGAGAAACAAGCTGCGAGATTCAAGATTTGAACCTGGGTCACTCATGTGGGAGTCAAGCGTCTTTAGCTACCACACCACCTGCTGGTCCTGTGTTTTCTTTCTTTCTTTTTTTTTTTTTAAGAGAGATTTTTGCTATTGCCAGGGAGAGACAAAGACAGACAGAAAACAAGAAATCACTTCTGAGGGGGGATGGCCACACTGAAATCCCTTCTCCTCCATTCTCCTCTTGGGATGTTGGGCATACATACACATATACCTGGTGTGTCAAGCTGTAGGTCTGGGACTCAGCCGTGGTCGGCCATGTGGGAGTCCAGCGATGTAACCATTGTGCCATCAGCTTGTCCTCATGTATAGTTTTCTCTCTCTCTCTTTTCAAAGAATTATCTTATTTAATATTATTTATTTATTTTACTTTGACCAGAGAGGGACAGAGAGAGAGAAAGAGAAAGTGATAAAGCAAGCTGCCAGGTCCAGGACTCAAACTGTGGTAGGCCATGTGGGAGTCCAGTGCCCTTAACTCCCACACCACCTGCCGGCCCCACATAGTCTTTTCATAAGACACATTTTCCACGACCTTTTAAAAATACTTATTGTATTTAAAAAAATTTTTTTTGAGAGGTTTTTGCTGTAGGATGTTTGTGTTCACCACAAAGACAGAGGGAGACAGAGAGATAGAAAGCGAGAAATCACCCCCCAGGTGGGATGGCCACACCGCAATCCCTTCTCCTCCATTCTCCTCTTGGGATCTTGAGCACGCACGCACACGCGCCCGGCGTGAGTTTAAGCCACCGGGTCTGGGACTCGAACTGTGGTCGACTACCTGGGAGTCCAGCGACATAGCCATTATGGCAAATGCTGGTCCCTATTTATTTAATTTTGCTATTATTATTATATAAACTTTTTTTGATAAAAAGCACGTGCAGCACTAGAGAGAGAGAGGGAAAGTGAGAAAGCAAGCTGCTATGTCTGGGACTCAGCTGCGGTTGGCCATGTGGGAGTCCAGCACCCTAACTACCACGCAGGCTGCTGCCCCCTATCTATGACTTTTTTGAAGACCCCGTGTAATGTGCACTTCACGAAAGCAAGTCTTTATTCATTTCACGAGAGCGATATGCCCAGAACCAAGAATGGTGGCAACACATTTGTTCACAGCAGCAAATCCCCCAAGGCACTAAATCTAGGCTGGCATCTTGTGAGAGGAAGGATTGCAGCAGTGAGGCCGCCAGGAAGGAGAATGGTCATTAATGGTGGAAGACTCCCTGAGGTGGAATGGGGTAGGGATGGTGACTGAATTTCCCAGTTAAAGGAGGGAGGGATTGGGGTAGGCCCACAGCTTGGTGCTACCTGGACAAGCTGGGTCCCTTCCCCCACCACACCTCCTCCTTCCCATTTGTTCAACACTTTCCCTGGCAAACATGGAAGATGAAGGGTGGGGTGGAACTGTCAGTTTCATTTCCTTTATCAGCTAAGTGACAATTTCCATCCTGGGTGTGGGTCCCAGGAGGTATTATAGAAAAAACCGTAAAGAAGCTATCAAAGATTGTGGAAGAAACAAGACAATCGACATATGTTCAATTTTTGTGTTTCCAGTTTCATAGTCCTTGTAACATCTGTTCAAGGCTAGGTTTGGCCAATGTATATACCTGGGTGGACTTGGATAAATTACCTGAACTTTCTATGTTTTTGTGTCTTCTTTTTTTTTTTTTTTTTTTTGGGGAGGTTTTCTCTATGTGGGGGGGTGGTCT